GTGGTGATTATGATGTATTGTATGTGTCTGTGAACGTGTGTCTGCACACGTGTGGGAGTGTCAGGGCCTATTCAACACAATTGTATGCACAAGTTTCAAGGGTTGAAAGTTAATGCAGATATGTGCAGATGTGTGTGTGTGTGTGTGTGTTTTGAGTGAATGGATGCTACATGTGTTTTCTTTTATATCTGGGGTAAAGTGCTAGAGCAATTAAAAGTGGAAAAAAGCTGCTGAATGTTCTCATTATATCCCACACATTACACACATTACACAATACACACATACAGTACATGTGTTCCTCATATTGTTGTGGCCATAAATAATCTGATTTGTATTTGTCAACACCGAGTCTGAGGGTCTGTCTTTGCGTTTTATGATTTTTATATCTGCTCTGATGACAGACTGCTCATATACTGTGACACTGTTTGCAAAAGCTCAACAGGGTTGAGTGGGTACCTGCGTCCATGTTGAGTGCCAGCGTCTGGCTGACGTCTCCCGGGGGAAGCAGGCTTGGCCAGGAGGCGGCGGGTTCCAGCTTGCTCACTTCATAGTGGCTCGGCAAGGCCGGGAGGTGAGGTGGCCTCACGGTGGGCATCAGTAGGGGCCCGTAGTGAGGCTCCAAAGCCGCAGGTGCATAAAGTTCGTGGAGAGGCCTTGGTGGCCCGTAGGCCTGCGCTTGGGGGTATCCCCAGCTCTCTGGAGGGTGAGGATGGGAGTGAGGGTGAGGGTGAGGGTGAGCGTGCGGGTGAGGATGAGCGTGCGGATGAGGCAGGCCCGGGTGGAGCCCTGATGCATATGGGTCCATGGAATAGGAGGGCACTCCCGTCTCACAGTGGGAGCGGCTCTGTGGCGATGAGTAGTTACTGTCCCAGAAGGATGGGGGGAAGCTTCGTCGGCTGCTGGGTGAAGGGGTATCTAACGGGGAGAAGGAGAAGCAGAAAGGGGTCACAAACTGTGCGCAGTAAATCACTTGATTTATATGGAAAAAATTAAAGGCTGCTGAAGCTATGCGAGACGACAAGGAACCCGTGCTAAAGCGTAGATGTCACTCACATGACTGCAACACCCTCTGGCCCAGATATCTTCCCCATTGGATCATACTGTCACACAGCCCTAGCCCCAACAAGACACAGAAATAAACACAACAACGTTCTAGCAGACTGAGAGGGAGAGAGAGAGAGGGAGAGAGAGAGAGAGAGAAAGGTAGAAAGAGAGGCGTCCCTATATCCGACTATTCTATATAAGGCAGAGGCTGGGACCTGGAGTCAGACCAAAGCTCCCCGAGCCTTAAATCACTTGCTGTGGTGACATCTCTCACTCTCATGTCAGCCCAGTGCTTCTGAAAGTCTCAC